GATGAAAATAGGAAAATGAGAGGGAGGGGTTGTAGGAAAACGATTGAAACTGAAAAAGACTTTCGAATTTTTTCAAAATGCCATTTAACACAAAAACTGAAAGATTATTTACAAAAAATCTCTAAATGGTGTTTGGGTCAAAAACTTTTCGAAAAGATTGAAAAAGTTTTTTTTTCCTAAAAACATTTACAACACTCTTTGAATACACTGTAAAGTCTCTTGAAAAAAAATATCATATTGACGTAACTTAACAGTTAAGGAGAAAGTATCGATATCGACAAAATACAGTATCATGATACTGCTCATGTACCAACAAAATATTAGTATTTTATTTATAACACTGAGAAGAAAGTATCAAGATCAACAAAATACAGATGATACTGCACATGTACTGACTGAATATTAGTACTTTATTTATTTAAGTGCTAGGATAAACGTGGTCAAATATACTATAAGAAATATTATATACTCGATTTTAATTAGCCCTTTTTCTTAGTTCACTTTGTGAAGAGAAGACATACTTCTCATCTATTTCAAATCTCACCCAGTCGACTGAAATCAAACATATCGCTCTAAATGAGTTTGCCTTTATCCTTTTCAACTAATTTTGATTTGATATATAGTTGCTGTTAAGAGGAAAACACAAAAAGAAACTGAAGAAAATTACTGAAAAGATAAAAGGAAATTACTGAAAACATAAGTATTGGCCTCAGAAAGTTTAACTACATCAAAAAGACTTCCTCAAACGGTGAAACCAAAGAGTATTTAACCAACTAAAACCAGCATATCCTATTTGGATATTCCTTTTATGCCAAATCTTTTGGGGGGTTTGGAGGCGGGGGAAAGGAGGGGGGGTGGTGGTTCATGCTTGGAATATTCGTAGTGTATGCTAAAAGATTGAAAAAGATTTAATTTTTTGGTTTAAACTCTTGGAAAATAATGCAAAGTCTATTTTAAAAAATATCATGATGACGTAACTTAATAGTTAAGGAGAAAGTATGAAGACTTAACAAGTAAGGAATAGAATATTTATAAAAGACAGATAGTACTGTTCATGTACGGACTGAATATTTGAGTGCTAAAATAAACGTGCTCAAGTATACTTTTATAATTGAATTTAATTAAATTTTTTTCCCACTCTACTTTGTTTAGAGAAAACATACGCACTTACTTCTAATATAACTCAAACCTCACTAAATCTAAATAAGCCAACGTTTACCTGTTTCAACTACATTTGGAATTTGATATGTGGTTGTTGTTGAGAGGAAAACCCAAAAAGAAAGTAAAGAAAATTACTAAAAATATTTGTATGAATATAAACCATCGTATTAAGGTAAAAATTTAAAAATTATCAGTTATTTTTATTATATATAAAAAAGCAACATTAATTTCGGAACAGAAAACGGCACCACGAGACAACGAAATACGACTTTAAACGGTCAAACCAAAGAGTATTTAAACACCGAAAGCCAGCATATCCTATTCGGATATTCCTCTTTTATGCCAATTCCTCCCTAACCCAGTGGGGGAATTCATGCTTCGAATATTCGTCGTGTGTATGCTAACTTCTCACACCACACACCTCTCACTTTTATATATACCATTCTTTTTCTTTATTATCCTTCTCCATTTCTCACTCCATTTTTTCAATCATATACTTTGCCATAGACCATTTCTTTGAAATTTAATTATATTTATTGGGTTTCCTGAAAAATCAATTCTTGAAATCTTTATCGTATTGGGTGTTTCAGAAAAATCAAATCTTAAATTTTCTGTGAGGGATCATGAAGTTCTGGAAAATCTTGAAGGCCCATATAGAGGAAACATTGCCGGAATGGCAAGACAAGTTCTTGAATTATAAGGATCTGAAGAAAGAGTTGAAGTTGATTTATCCTAAGGATGGTGATAGACCTAATAAAAGACAGAAGGTGGATGGTGATGATAAGGGGGAGGTGGTTACAAAGGAGGTGAATGATTTTGTGAAGCTGTTGGAAGAGGAGATTGAGAAGTTTAACAATTTCTTTATGGAGAAAGAAGAGGAATATATTATTCAGCTTAAGGTATCTTAATTGTTTCCTCTTTCTATTCTTCAGGTTTATTATTCTTATGGTTATCTGATCATTTTTTTATGGGAAGCTTATTTGTTGTGTGTGCCTTTACCATGTTACTTATGGTTAACCTATTTCTATTAGGCAATTAACAATGTAATGATAATCAAGTCCTTTGATTAAGTTTGTAATTGAGTTTGGGAATATAAGTTTAGCAACATGGCATGTTGTGCATAGATAATTGATATTCACCAAATATAGGGTAATAGCTACGAGTTCATTCGAGCCAAGTAGCTTTAGCTCAGATCTTGTATGTGTTAAAAGTTTCATCAAATTAGTACAATAATAGATTTTGAACCCAGTAAATCATGTAGGCTGTGGTAGAATTTAGCTTGAATGCATACTGAATATATGCCTTTGTTGATCTATTTGGTTACATGATTAAGTGTTGGTTTTGCTTTGCTCAGACTTTTGCCCTGTTTGAGTTGATGCAAGAGACTGAAGTTGGTTTTTGCCTTTGCCTTTGAATGATTGCAGGTTCTGAAAGAGAGAGTTGCTGAGATGAAAAAGACAAATGAAGAGCTGATTAGAGTAGGTAGGGACGTCGTGGATCTCCATGGAGAGATGGTTTTGTTAGAGAATTACAGTGCTCTTAACTACACAGGTACCACTCATTGCTATTTCTATTTGTTGGGTCAACAGTGTTAACTAATGTCTAAAGTAGGCTGATTCGGATGGAATTCCATGTTGTAAATGGAACTATTCTTGAACATGTTAACGGTCCACTTTCATTATGAGATTTATATTCTTGCATCTTAAATTGTGAAAGCAATGAAAAAAGAGATTCTGACAGCTTGACGATGCTGGTAGAGTTATGATAATTAGAAGTAGATCAGTTTATGTGAAGGATCTGTCAATTAACGAAAATTCTTAGCTAGCTTAATGTGTGTGAACGTGAGCTATGAGCTGTAGATTGTTGGAGCATGGCCTATAATCTTGAATGAGTTTTTTAAAGAACTAGGGGCATTCTAATCTGTACAGCCAAGACGAGTTCCTATCTAACTGTATCTCAGCTAAGCTCATTTGATTAAATTCTTTTACTATTTATGGACACGAGAAATCTATTGGTTTTCATAAGGCTCATGTCAGGAATTTGTGGCTCAATTTTTTCTGAAGAATTTTTGGCTCCTTAAAACTTTAGATTTCTTCTTCTTTTCTCATTTGTCCTCAACTTCATGCCAATATGATTGGAGTAGTTTTTCCCATTTACTTTTAATGAATTCTTTGTTAATATTTATGTTTATACTTATTATTTCGCTTTGTCAATTTTCCTGTCCACAGGAGTAGTGAAGATCTTAAAGAAATATGACAAACTCAGTGGCGATCTTATTCGTTTGCCTTTCATCCAGAAGGTGCTTGAGGAGCCATTCTTTAAAACTGAGGTTCTAAATAAACTAATAAAGGAGTGTGATACAATTCTTAGTCACCTCTTATACCAAACTGAGCCGCTTAGAGTCCCAGAAGCGGAAGAAGGTATTGCAGGAGGTAGCGGAGGAGGAGAAGGAGGTAGTGGAGAGAGGCCAGTCAAAGTTCCTGAAGAACTTGCAGATATAAAGAACATGGAAAACATGTACTTGAAACTTACATATTCAGCACTTAGAGTCTTGCAGGAGATTCGTAGCGGAAGCTCAACTGTCAGCGCGTTCTCTTTGCCACCAATGCAGACTAACGAGCTCGACAAGATCTGGAAGAATATTCCAGTGGTCGAACAAGTAGCAAAGTAGTGGACACTTATGCCTGTGACATGCTTCTCTACATATATGTCTTTGCTGTTTTTCCTTCTTTTTTCCCAGTTCAGGTGCTTGTACATCTAGAAGCAACGAGTGCAGTTGCCAGGACTACATTACCTTACTGTTGAAATATAGCTTTAGATTTCCATTGTATCTTGTAGAGATGTTGCCTGATAAAATATATATACACTCGTGACTCGTCTATAGCATTTGTAGTCCAGTGCTATTGGCTCAAGGAATTTTCAAGTTAAGCTAATTCTTCTATAGACTTTAAGGTTGTTGATTGTATTGGAGGCAGAATTTGATAGGTTTGAGGGTATTTGGGTAAGATAGACATACCAGTTTACCAAAGCGAGGGTTGTTCAAATGGCAAGCACCCTTCACCTCCAACCTTGAGGTTGTGGGTTTGAGTCACAAAAGGGAGCAAAATAGGGAGCTCTTAGGGGAACTATTTGGCATATGTATGTTACCGTTAAAAATGCTTATGCGACAAGTGCTTATATGCAAAATCAGGCCAGAAACCATATGTATTGAATACTGAAAGGCGTTGTAACTGGGAAATGAAAATGCTCCAAATACGGTAACAGTATATACATACATGGCCTAGTGGAGAACTGGAAATTTGCATGTTAGTTATATATAATATGGAAAAATTATCAATTAATATATCTAAAAGACCCCCCCAAAAAAAGGCAATTGAGGGCTATAATTATGCTGCAAATTTCAGAATAATTTCTCTTTTTTTTTTGGTTAAAGCAAATAGAGTACTTATTATATATTTAAAAACATTTTTGTAGTTTTGCATTTCTCAATGTCCCCAGATTTATCAGCCTTTTTCCTCCAAATAAATTACGGCATTTGACACAACCAATAGAGGAAGGACATTGCCCCAGAATCTTTAAGGAAAATAATGATTATTCTGTGCTTTCTTGGAAAAAATAAAAGTTGATTTATTTATGAGAAGTAGCTAAGAATAAAAGCGCCTGTAGCTCAGTGGATAGAGCGTCTGTTTCCTAAGCAGAAAGTCGTAGGTTCGATCCCTACCTGGCGCGTTTNACCGCGAGGCCCGGCCCGTTAGGCCCACTAAGGCCCGGGCCCGGGACAAAATACAGCCCTAATTCAGACGTATTTTCTTCCCCCATTCCTCCACCTTCACTTCCTTTTCATGATTTCCTATATAGGCTGCAAAATCATTCTCACTTCAATTTTCAAGCTTCATTGCAATTTGTATGATCTACCAACTGTCCATCTTCTTCTCATTTACCTTTCTTCTAGCATCAAAATCTCCTCTACTTTTTATCCAACCATTAATTCTATATAAATCCCAGAAAAATGCAATACCTTCCAAGCCATATTAGCAAGTGTTATCCAAACACATCTCCAAAAAAATGTCCATAGTTGCAGAAGCACCTGGTTACATCCAAGTTTTCTCCGATGGTTCAGTTAAACGATTCGCGCCTGAAATTGCCACTGCATCAATTGAACCATGCAATGGATACAAGTCCAAAGATGTGAACATTGACCCTTTAAAGCCAATATCTGGTAGAATATACCTCCCTGATTTTCCTGAATCAGGAGTTATAAACCAGCAGCTTCCTGTTTTAGTCTATTTCCATGGCGGCGGATTTTGCATTGGCTCAACTACATGGCTTGGTTACCATCTGTTTCTTGGAGATTTAAGTGTTGCTTCCAAATCTATCATCCTTTCAGTAGACTACCGTCTTGCACCTGAAAATAAGCTTCCTACAGCTTACGAAGATTGCTATTCTGCATTGGAATGGCTGATCAAGAACTTAGAAAATGAACCATGGCTGAAAAGGGCTGATCTTGATCAGGTTTTTCTTTCCGGGGACAGTGCTGGAGGCAATATAGTCCATCAGGTTGCTATCCGGGCGATTAGAAATGAAGATTTTCGTGGTAGACTTAAAGGGTTGCTGCCAATTCATCCCTATTTTGGGAGTGAAAAGAGGACTGAATTAGAGACGGCTAATGGATCAGCCGGGGAAGTGGAGATGAACGACATGTTTTGGAGGCTTAGTTTGCCACAAGGATCAAACCGTGATTATTTTGGATGTAATTTTGAGAATGCTGAAATGTCTGTGGCTGAGTGGTCTCGGTTTCCAGCAGTGATTGTTTTCGTTGCTGGCTCGGACTTCTTGAAAGAAAGGGGAGTAAAGTATGCTGAATTCTTGAAAAAGAACGGTGTGAAAAGAGTGGAGTTGGTTGAAGCTGAGGGACAGGTTCATGTTTATCATGTGTTTCATCCTGAATCAGAGGCTACTCGTTTGCTTCAGAAGCAAATGAGTGACTTCATACATAGTTTTTAGAATTCCATTTGATCTTCAGAGTCATTTGAAGCAATTTGAAGATAATTTAGTAGTAAGAAGTGAAAATTGAAGATGGATCTAGAAAACAAGAGCATTTTTTTTCCTTTTTGAAAGAAGAATCTATCTATAAGTTATTTCTAGTTTGAGCACAGGTGCACTACAGTCTGCAAATGTCAGATGAAAACACAGTTATTCATTTTTATTCTATTGTATGGTGCTGAGAACATCATAAACTAGTTAGATGCGACAATAAGTTCTGTCTACCTAACAATACAGTTAATTTTCATCGTTTTTCATCTATTTTAAGGGACTCAACCCAACGATACCATCAAGCCAAGGAAACGTAAAATTATAGTTCTTCTGCTCAACTTGTTTGGGATTGACGCGTAGTAGTTGTAGTTGTTGCTGTTGTATCAATACTGGCTTTTCTGGTTAAATTTACTTCCAACTGGTTCGGCGGATTAGCAAACAAATACCAATATGCAGCAATATCTGATCTTTGTTAATTTCCTCATGTCTTCTTTGATATTGCAGTTTAAGAATGTTGAACACCATTTTGACAAACTAGATTAATCAGTAAACTCAAACTTTTATCTTATGAACCACTTCAAGAATAAATAATTTCTCATCTTAGACAATAAGTACTAGATTTGCATTGTTGATTCCCATAACTTAATTCCAAAGCTGCTGCCACAGGCTCTTAAAAGCATCGAATTTGTCCAAGGTGCTGGTGGTGTTGTAAGCGTTAAGCAAATCAATCTTGCGTAGAGATTTATATAGATAGTTTTCCTAGAGAATGATGTAGAAATTTTTATCTAAAAAAAGAGAGAAAAAGAAAAATATTACTGGAATCTTGCAGAAAGTAGGGGCTAGAGTTTAACCGTGAAGCCTGCAACATTGTACTCCCTCGTTTCAATTAGATGATGTAGTTTGACTTGACACGGAATTTAAAGAAAAAAAATACTTTTGTAACTTGTGAACTTATGATAAGTGGATAACAACCTCACATTCGCTTGGTTGGTGTCTCGTGCTTTTTCAATGTACTGCAGAACTTCTATATATGATTTCTAATCTTTGATGTATGTAGATTACAGGTTGAAGCCTTAAGGGAAAAAAGAGTGATGAACGTACCACATCGAAAAGAACGAGAAAATCCAGGCTTTGTTACAATATAAAAAGCGAAGCACTGCCAGTTAAGAAGCTCACGCAGCCACGCAGTGAGCACAAAGCGAACTATTCTTTCGCCTTTTACTAAAGAATACCGTGTGCACATTGTATTTAGTGGCATACACTTATTTTTGGAGGGGTTCTCTTTACGGAGTTCCCCCAACAATTCAAGTATAATATTTAAAACTCATTTTCTACTTATGTTAAATAAATATGAGGCTTTGTAGTAATTCTTTTTGTAGATCTTACGTTTCAGTTAAAAGTTGGAGTATAAAGTTTGTTTTCTTTGTTCTTTGTGAGGATTTCATGTTTCTTATTTACAGGAAGGATGACCATTCCAGATTCACTTGGAACAATATTGTTTTTTTCAAGAGTTATGATATCAATAGGAAAAAAATTGAAGCATCAAATATGTGTTTTGGTTTACTGTTGGACGATGAACTAAACATAAGTTAACACTCAATAGTTACATGGAAACAGCAAAAGTGCATATTTTAACATAGTATTATCAAAAGCTTAAAGAAGATACACCCAACTAACTTGTTGTATTGAGATCAAAAGTGAAATTAATATGGGACAACGATAGATATGTTATTTCTAAAAAAAGTAAATTTCTCCACAACTCAATTATAAAATTATTCATATTTACACTAAAACTTAAGATTCTTATTTTTAAACTTAGATACAAAAATTAATGACGAGGCAACTAAGGAAAATCTCTAGATAAATTGGGTTGAGATTTCTTTATTTTGGGCGAGCTTCATGGGGTAAAATATAGTGGGCTAGCCAATTTTCGGACCGGTAATTGAAAAATAGTCAGCGTTTGCAAAGTCATTAAAAAATAGCCACTATTTTGCTGCAACAGGGACCGGTCCAGCATAATATACTGGAAATCGATGCAGCTATATATGAACTTCCAGCATATTATGCTGGAACTCTAACACACGGAAAGTTCCAGCACAATATACTGGAGATTGGAGCACCTGTGTATGAACTTCCAGCATATTATGTTGGACCGGTATATTATACTGGAACTCCAGTATATTATGATGGAGTTCCAGTATACTTATGCTGGAACTCCATTATAATATACTGGGGTTCCAGTATACTTATGCTGGAACTCCAGTATATTGTGCTGGAGTATTTTTCGAATTTTGAACAGTGTTTTCATTCAGATTTATCTTTACATGAAAAGTGGCTAAATTTCGATTACTTTTGAAACTGTGGTTATTTTTGAATGGCCACTTGTAAATCTAGCTATTTTTGAATTTCTCCCCTTCTTGGGTTATATTTGGACTATTTCATGGGTCAGAATGGCCTATAAAAAATGATGAGTTAACTTGGGCTCGGCCCAAATAGACACATAAGTTAAAATGTTTGTAGCCTAATCCATTAATCTCTGGACGGGTTGGACGAGTTGGATAGTTTTGGGCTCTAATTGCCACCCTACTCCTGAGTTCTGTAGCTAGACACCACAACATACAAGGACAGGATGTATAATAGCAACAATGAAGCCATTGTTTCTTTATTTACTGCTAAATGCTGTAATTAAGTGGAGCACTTCTTTACATTGGTCGTTACTGTATTTATAGATTAGCATTTACAGAAAATTGGCTTTACTTAAGCATAACTATACAAACTTTGGTCTTTATTTTACATACTTTTTATTTCTTATTTTTGATATGTTTTAAACTCAAACTTGAGTACCTATTATTGACAAATTGAGATCAATGTTCTTGTTAGTGAGCTAAAGCAAATTAAGTGTAGTGCACTAGTGATACCTACTGTATGTGTTGTGTCTGTGTTGCTGTAAATAAAATACCGATGAGTTAGATAAATTTTACAAACTATGGGAACCACTTTGCTTCCTCTTCATAAAAGCAACATAAAGGACAGACATAGGAATGTTAGAAGTTCTTATTCCCTTTCATAAATTTTTACCTTTTTTCTTTAGTTTCATTATTTTCTTTAAGGAAAACAACTGGCATTGATCCCAGCTGCCGGCGGCTTTCTGCATCCTTACAAGCACAGTAGATCAGCCAAAATGCCAAGTGCTGACTGTCCCAAATAGTGGAAGCTTTCATTTTCACATTAGAAGCTCTCACTTTAAAAAAGTATTCACCCCCTTATATGTGGCTACCTTTAAAACTTGAGATAGCTAGGTGATAGGAAAAATGATATTATATAGTCGCTCTCAAAATAATAAATGGAATATATATATATATATATATATATATATATATGTGTGTGTGTGTGTATGTGTTATATACAAAAATTAAACAAATTTTATATATTTTTTCGACTATTAAATATAAATAATTTCTGGCGCGGGCTAAACGTGAAAAAAGTCCCTAAGTGATACATCAAGTATAGTGTTAGGTGCAATAATGTCCCATTTGGCTCAGAAATGACTAATACGTATACATGCTTCCCAAAATGGTTAGGTGCAATAGTTTACCAAGCAGATGCCTACAATGTTCTTCTTGCTGCATGTTGTTTCTCTCTGTTTTCTTTTTTCCTTTCCCTTTGACTATTTCCTTTTTTGGTTTTCCCAATTATGAAGAAAACCTTAGCAAATGGATTCTTAAGCATCACAGCTTCCTTTCTTTTCTTTCCCTTTGACTGTTTCCTCTAGTCTTTCTATCAACCTCCTTTACAGACTCTTCCATTCAGAGTCTAATGTGCAGCAGAATTGGAGGTGCGAAATCAGAAAATTCAATAATTTGAACACTTTTTGCTAGTGGACTATGTAAATGTGTTCAAAATTTATTGTTTAATCGAAAAGGGCCAAATATAACCTTGTACTATCAGAAAAGGTTTAAATATACTCCTCATTATACTTTGAGTCCAAATATATCCCGATTGTTATACTATTAGTTCAAATATACTCATTTTCCGTTAAGTTTGTCCAAAGTGAACATCCAATTCTACGTGGCACTAACATTTGATGAGGTGGATGCCACATGGTTTGCCATCTCAAAGCCCCTAACCCATTTTACCCCTCCCTTCTATTTTTTTCCACCATTAAAAGTTTCTTCCCCTCCACCACTTGGTGGGTTTATATTGGGTAGTTGTTGTTGTTGTTGTTCCCCTCCACCACTTGGTGGGTTTATATTGGGTAGTTGTTGTTGTTGTTGTTGTTCCCCTCCACCACTATTGCCACCATTACCGCTACCATGAAAAATATTGTATTTCAAATTTTAGTCTTTTATATATGGATTAGGGGCACTGAGGTGGCATGTCCTGTGGCATCCACCTCATCAAATGTTAGTGCCACGTATGATTCGATGTCCACTTTGGATAAACTTAACATAAGAGGGGTATATTTGAACCAATAGTATTACGTTAGGGGTATATTTGAACTCAAAGTATGACGAAGGGTATATTTAAATCTTTTCGCATAGTACAAGGGTATATTTGGCCTTTGTCATTTTTTAATCAATAACAAGTACTCCCTCTGTTTCAATTTATGTAAACATATTTAACTGTGCATGGAGTTTAAGAAAAGAGGGAAGACTTTTAAATTTGTGGTATAAGATGAGTCACATATATTTTGTGTGGCTATAAATCATTGCATAAAGGTAAATTGTTTCCAAATAGGGAAATAGTCATTCTTTTTGGTACGGACTAAAAAGGAAATAGGTTCACATAAATTGAAATAGGGGGAGTAATATTTTACCCTATAGATAGTATAATATTTCGGAGAATGGTGTTCGGCCATACATATCTTCGCCCCTGAGCAGAAGACTCGAGAATTTCCGAGTACAGAGCTTTCTCTTTCCGGTGCTATCAAGAATAAGGAATACCCAAGCAAGCCATTCTTCCTTATTCTGCACGCGTACAAGAGATTCTTTATAGTGTAGGTTCAAGTTGCAAAAGGTATCAAGAGACAGAAGACCACTTCCTTTTTTGTTAGATGGTGGCTTTTGGAAGTGTTACTAGTTGTATCAAAATGGACTTTGAAATAGGAAGACTAAAGCCATTAACCTGTACCAATCACTTGGTGACTTCACTTTCAAGAGTGACATAATGCATCACCAACATGGTGCCATTGAAAGAGCACATTCATTCAATAAACAATAGAAATTCAGAACAAAATAAAAGTACTCACAAGTCACAATGCCAAAGTTTGCCCCNAACCCTCCAAGAAGATAAAAAATGTGGTTAACTTTGAAGAGCTGAGGTGTCCTAACCTAAAGGGAAACATGAAAAGTACCAAGTTAGATAAAAGTAAGTTCCCTCTCCTTACATATGTTGTGCCTTCGCCAAGAAACTTTACACTGCCACTGCATATTTAACCACTCCTTTCATCTCTATCTTGCCTTCTCATAAACCTTGAACATCCTTTCCAATCACCTACATCCATGTCTCGGACTATACAGAGATGAATAGATAATCTTCTTTTTCAAGAACTATCTACAGGCTAGTCAAAATGATGATACTCGAAAATAGACCTTGAATCTAACTTAACCCCGTGAGGAGGATGCCAAAACTATACAAGGAGACATTAACCCAATCTCTCAACCAATCTGGGATATCATAAGACCTAGCTTCCCAGATCGGGGCAACTGAAATATGAATAACATATAACCTAGAGACCCAACATAGAAAAACACAATAACATGGATGGTGTGGCTATAATACCATGCCACTGAAAATAGATCTTGAACCTAACTCACTGAAAAACTATTTCATCACTTGAGAACTCAAGACCTCCTAAGAAAACAACAGGTCACGACCCTACAAGAAAACAACACTCAAATCCTTCAATCAATGTAGGAGACTTTTTTCACAAGGACAATCAATGTAAGGATACCATACACAACCTCCCTAAGCTGAAAAGGAAACAACTAAAGCTGTGAAGCTTTACTCGGGCTTTAAGCCACCAAATACGTGTCCCAAATATATTTGATATGCATTAAATCCCCACAGTTAAGAACAAGTAATGAAACAGGAAAATTTACTGCAAGGAACAGCCATTAATGCAAATCCAACATAGAAAAAATGGTGACAGTTCATAACATTAATTAGTCTTATTAAACTTTCTCCACTTCAACAGACAGATTTCACTTCACCTTCCACTCTAAGCCTGAGCAAAACCGTTTGCTTCAAAGCAAGAATTCACAGATCAGTTATGACTTGAGACTCAGCTATGAAGCAGATCCAAATGGACAATGACCTCAACCTTGGCCCCAAATATCAGATTAGAAGAGAAAAGAACACAAATCTGATAAAGGAAATATTGTAAATGAACTATATAAGACCAGCCATTGGTAACAGCAACAAGTACCTAAACATGCAGAGAGTAGAAGAAGAGGAAGAAAAGGTAAAAATAGTACTCTTAATATCAAAACAGTTATAAGGGTATCTCAGATCTTAACTCTACTAATAAGATACAAGAATTGAATCTGCACTGTAAACAAAGAAATGTGGATATCTCAAATAAGCCTACATATGAAATGAAACTGATCTATCAAAGAACAGTAACAGATCATCCAACCTACATACCTAAAACCCCAAATCCATACCAAAAGCACAAGTCAACTTGAGGAAAAACCCCAAATCTTATACTTTCCAGCCAATTTCATAAGGTTTATTTTGATACCCTTTTGTCAATTAGATTCAACTTAGGCCTGTGAATCACCCTTCTTTCCATCAGCTGATCCATTAGATTCTCTCTCAGTCAACAATCTCCCTGCTTCCTCATCTGCTTGCTGAGTTTTCTTCTGTGCTTCTTTTGCCTTCAATGCCTGTAACTTCTGATGATTATAGTATGCAACTCCTAAGAATGCCAATCCATACCCAATCAAATTCACTGGAGTCACAGTGTCCTTAATCACCGACCAAGAAAATGCAATGAGCAGCCAATCTTTAACAACCCCAGCAACATTCATAGTCAAAGCTGAAGTCTTTCCAACCAAAAGAAACACAGCCAAGTTCAAAGCGAACGCACACAGTGAATTAGTCCCAAAAATAGCAAAATCAAACTGAAAACTCGAGCTCTCTCTCAAAACAGGAAGCTCCACAAAGATCCAAGGAATTGACAAGAAAACCAAACAGCTAGGAGCAACATAGTACAAAGAAGTAATGGGATTTAAACTAATACCCTTTGAAGTCAACAAGATCTGGATCATAACAAGCCTAGTAGCTTCAAACAAAACAGCAAGCAACTGAAGTAAAACACCCCAAGAATCATACTTTGCTTCACCATAAGCAGCAATAGCAACACCAACAGAAATAGCCATCATGTTGCCCATAGTAGAATTCTTGAAAGTGTCCTTTTTAAACAAGATCCCGATAGTATAAACAGCAACAGGCATAAGGGCTTTCAACATTTGAATAAAGGAAACAGAGAGGTAAATA